CTCTCTTTTTTTTTGATGAATCTAGACAAGTTAAATGCCCAAATTGCAATATTGTGTGTTGTGAGCATTGTAAAGAAGAAAATCAACTATTTTAATAATAATTTTGTAAATGTAAAATTATTAAATCAACCAGAAATCTAGTTCTCTTTTAATGTTTATGTTTTCTGATTTTAGGTTTGGTGATGTTGCTTTTTATATGCTCTTATTATTTAGAACATAGTGAGTTTTATTAATCTATAGTATGCACAATTAAAGATGGATATTTCAATCAAGATTGCACTTTGGAATAATTTTATAAAGATACTTTAAAATAATTTTTATTATTTAGTGTCTTAATCTTTATTATTACACTTATATCAATTCTTATTGAGAACATTCCATACATTATTAAATTATAACATTAAACTAAAAGAAGTATTTATTAATGATATATACATAAAAAATATGTTAATCAAATAAAACCAATTATCCAACTATTCAAATAATATTATATATATTCCTTTCTATAAAATAATCAAACAAAAGAGTTAAAAGAGCCAATAATTTCAAACTTAAAGTACTGTTGCATTTTAGGATCAGTTTTAATGGTCTTCTGAATAGAAAGATAATTGATTTTAAATATGAATCAAAATAACGTAACAATTAATAAATGAGTGTTCGTTCAATTTTAAATAAAAATATTTTTAAATGTTTAAAATAAGCTCCTTTTAAAAAATTATTGAAAGAAATATAAAGAATCATCATAATTCTTATATAGAATTTATTATTAAATTTTTATAATTAAATAAATGTACTTATTTTCCTAAAATTAATATATATGTGAATTATGCTTAATCATAACCTCATGCTATTGTATCTTACACAAGAACTTTAGATATTGGAGGAATGTTTAAATAAATGTATGAGAAATATCAAGTTAATGGGCTTTGGTGAAGGAATAAGCAGCTAAACAAATAAATAAATTTTTGAAGCGATGGCCTCTCAAAAAATTGTAAAAGTTAATTTTAAGGCTTTAATTAAGTTTATGCATACCCTCACTGTTCTTGTGAGGTTTGAAATGAAGCCAAAATAATAAAGTGATTTTTCTAGAAATAATGATGTAATGTGGATAAGCTTTCGATATTTATTTTGATTCTTATTTATACCCTTTAATAAAAGTCATAACTGAATTTATGAGTTGAGGATCTAAAAATTATGTAATATTATCAATATGAACAGATTATTGAGGGAAGCTATTTTTCTTTGTTTGATTTATATTATTCGTTTTACTTTACGTATTAAATTTAGTTAAATCTCTACTTAACTTGATTTTATAATTCTTAAATGATAAGTCTATTCTCTACAAATCATTTCGTTCATTTCTAAATCACTCTAAAATTCAATAAAATCAATTTAATAAATTATTTTTTGAATAAACTTAAATAATATTACAAGAATAAAAAATATATTACTTTAACTAGGAAAATAAAAAATAAAACTAGACTACATTGATAATTATATCAAAAGATGTTCTTTATAAATAATTCTATCAACTTAAAATCTAGCAATGGCATATTCTCTTGATTGCTTTTTTATAAACGTTTCAGATATTCCAATCATTTACTTTAGAATTATTAGGAGTCTAATCATGACATTTTCATATATAACAGTGTTTTTCACTTTTGGTGGAATAGTAATAATTTTTAACTTCATAAAATACAAGTTCTCATATATTCCTACAGCTCTTATTTATGTGTTTATCTTCTTGCAACCAAATTTAATTGGAAGCTTAATCTCTTAAATATCTTATAGAAAAATTTCAGATGAATATTGGATTCAAGGAAATGTGGCCTATCGTTATGATACAGATATACATGCTAAATGGTTGTTAGGATTTTGTATTCCCTTATCGTTATTCTTTGGAACCATAATGCCTGCTTACTTGTGGTATGGAGTAAGAAAAAATTAACATCGATTAGTTAGTACTTAAGTAAGATAAATCTGGGGCTATCTTTATAATGAATATAAATTACATATTTTGTTAAATTGAGTGATAAAATTGATTAGGTTAAGGATTTTACTAAAAGAAATTTCCCTAATTGAATCATTAAGCATCCATTTTTCGCTTAGTAATTAGAAAGTAGAAAGTAGAAATCAGATAGGATAAAAGGTAGATTTACTAAATTAAAAATTTATCTTATAGCTTAAGCTAAAAAGAGATTAGGATTAAAAAAGGAGTAAATAACCATATTTTGTAAATTACATAAATCAGAATACTATCCTTAAGCACATTTTTAATTTAAATTAATATAATTAAAGGGTAGTTTACATCTAAGCATATTTTTAGCATTTTAATCTTATGGATTATTGTATACTAGCCTATTTATTTGGAGTTAATTAATACAATTTTTAGTAAGGAAACAAATAAATTAATAATTATTATAATGTTAATACATGTTAAGAACTAAAAAAGTTAATAATGACGATGAAATTGAAATAGAATCTTAATAGAAGAGTTATTGGAAGAAATTCGGTAGGTCAATAAGATAAATATATTTGTTTTAAGTTCATATTTAACTATTTCTCCTTTATCATTTTATTATATTACATATTCTTTTAATAATTACCTCCATAAATAATATTGCCATCATCACATTCTTCATGTACAATTGTACTGTCTCCACATATAGGATGAAAAAAACTCTTCAAATTTAGATTCTTAACAACCATCACAATTTTATAACATACCTCTGCATTTTCAGTTAGTTAATCCAATTATTGAGGAAAATCAGACTTTAATTAAAAAGGCTATTTTTAGAGTTCTTCGATAATTTGATGCTAATCATTATCAAATTCACAACTGATTCTTTCTTTTATTTTTGGTTTTTTACCATATTTAATTTGACTTTTTTAAAACTTATTAATTGAGCTTGTGATTCTAAATTATCAATGCATCCAAGGCATAACAGTCCTTAATTTCTCTTTAATTTTGTATCACATGCAACAATCGAAATAGGAAGTTCATGTTTTTAAGAACAAGTAAATTCTTCATATTTACTATCATTTTAAGATTAAGTAGAAACTTAAATTGGCATCTTCTAGAATTCCTTTTATATCAAAATTATATCTTTATGATGTAACAACTATGACAGATGGAAAGTTTCATGTAATTCTAAAATAATAATAATTAAGGAATTAAATTAAATGAGCATTTGTTTCTCTCTTTGAGATTAATATTGTTACTCAGCTTTTAAAATGAATTATTTCATTGTCCAAACTTTCGATCTCGAATATTTAGGGTTTGATGAATCAAGCTGGTTAGAGACCAAGTCGATGCATTCAACAATAAACTCTAGTTAAAGATTTCTGTTAAATAAAAATGAACAATGCATTAGTTTTATATTAATAAACTTTCTCAGAATCATTATCAATTTGCTCTCACTAAGTAGAGTATTTTTATATAAATAATCAATTAGTACCAAAGTTAAAAATGATTGAGAAAAGCTTGTTTGCCAAAATAAGTATGAACATTGCTCACTGATTATAGACTTAACTCTTTAACTAATAATTAAAATTTTCAATCATAATTTAGTCAGCTATAGAATGCTTTATTTTCTATACAATTTAGATCTCTTCAAATATATATTCAAAATTTTTGAGAGATATGTTCTCATAATATGAATTGAATTAGGTCTATAAAGCTTTAAAGAAATTTCAAAGATAAATTTTTCAAGAAGTTTGTTATATTTTCTTATTTTTCCCTTCCTCCAACTACATACTCCATCTGTTTCTTAAGTAATTATAGATTCCAAATGACTGAGAATGTTTATTACATTTTCAAAAATATTCTTTCCATAATTTTAAATCATTATTATCAGAAAATCAAAGAAACATAGACATGCTAATATATAATCTTTTCATTTAAATCAGAAGTTATTTATTTATTAAATTTTCAAAAAATCCTTTAAATATTATCAATTCTATTATGAGATTTAGAAAACAATCTAATGATTCGCTTCATTTTTTCAAACCACTTAATGACTATCCTTGTATGAAATTTATGATAACACAATTTACTTGAAAAAATATTAAAAATAAATAATATTAATTGTTTTAATATATTAGAAATTTAATATATGAAATAGACACCACTTAAAAATAAAAATGCACAACCTGCTAAAATCTCTTAAAAATTAAGGCTCAAAAAAAAACAAAATAGATAAACATTTATGAGCCACATTCATAAAGTCCTATAAACTATTCATCCTTAACTCTCTATTTCCAAAAATGCTTTGGAAGTTGTAAATTAAATTATTTTTGATATTTTCGAAAAGATTATGTAGGAAGTCAGCATCTTAATTAAATTAAATAACATCAAAACTCTTCGTGCAAGAGAAATTCTCACAGCAGTTAGATTATTATTTTCAGGAGATTTGGCGAGGCATGCCGTCAGTGAAGGTGTATTAGCAGTTTAAAGATATAGATACTATTGATTTGACATAGATATTCCATATTACATATAAATTTTTAAAATGATGAATTCAAAAATAAAATTAACTTATTGATTTAT